AACCCGAATAATTTCAAAAAGTAGTGTTTCATTTCTTACAGTGCCCCACTCATACTTTTTTTTTTTTAATTGTACTTCAGGTGAAGGCTTACAGAACAAATAGTTTCTCATGAAACAGTAGTACACATATTGTTTTATGACACTGGTTAACAACCCCACAACATGTCAACCCTCTAACCTCTCAACCTTTTTTTTTGGTGAAAATACACATAGCCAAAGATATAGCATTTCAAAAATTTCTACATGAACAGTTTGCCCCACTCACACTTTTAAGTTTATTATACCACATATTTCCAGTGACAGAATACATATCCAAAGTGGTGAAATGCAGCAGTTAAATAATAAAATATATTTCAAAACCAAGGGCTATAAAGAATGTCTGAAATATACCTTACAAGGCAGGCATTCTAGAGGTTAACTACTTGTGACGTATCTCCATCCCAAGCTGTCCAAACCACTGATTAAATCACTTGCCCTATGTTCTCTGTGAGTAGGGCAAATTTGTTTTATTTGCTTGGCTTTGTTACATGTAAATGTTAAAAGTTTTTCTCAGGGTTTCCCACAGCCTGATTTAAGATGGCTGATGCTCAATGCAATCTTTGAGTAGTTAATGGAATTTGAAGAGACTCAAGTTTTAGATAGTAATCATCAGGTTAGGAAAGTGCAAATATATTAATTTTACACAGTTTTTGTGTCTCTTATTGAATATTCTCAAGGAAAATATAACGGAAATATAAAAAAAATTATAGAATTTCATATTGTTCTCTTAGAACCCCAAGCTCCCTTCTGTAAATAACTTCTACAACTGCACTGTTATTTGATTGGAAAGCAAATAAAATTGGATTCACAGGAGTGACCTAACTCTGCTATAATATTGGGCAGTCATGATGTAGTCAAGGACTACTGAGCTTGGTGAATCACTTACAAACTGTGTAGTTCATAGGCAAATCACATAACCTCTCTAAGCCTTAGTTTCCTCCCAATAAAATGATAATTATCCCTCAAAGGATAAGGAAGATTAAATGGGTAATGCACATGAAAGTTGCAAATTATAACATGCTGTACAACTGCTGAATTATTACTAGAATTCTTACGGATGTTATTAAAAGAAGGACCTCCTCCCCCTTCCCCCGCCGCCCAACCCCAACTTCACTCCCTCGCTTCTCCACAATTCTAGGACATAGATTGGCTATGCTTGCTAACGGGCAGGGTCACTGTGTATTAGAAGGAAATGCACATATCTTTGTGCTTCTTCTTCCTTTATACTTTATAAGGTTGATACATAAGCTGACCCAGTGCCTGCTCCTGAATAACCTGGCCACTTCGCACACAACTGACTGTGGTAAGGTTTGGTCTTGGGAGTAAGGGAGAAGTCCTCCATGGGGCTGGCCGAGGCCATATCCAGCTTGCCTGAGTATTTGGCAGTATATTCCTCGTGTATGCTGCCCTAGAAAACCTACAGGGGCAGGTAGTTTGGGTTTGTATCAGGATTTATTTATTCTCGGATTCACTGTTGTGCCATCAAAATCTCACAAATAAGCCTCTTGATGATACCTAACAGTGAGGATTACTATAATGTTGATTGACTTTCAAGAGGGAAACGCATCTTGCAATGTTGAAAAAAAAACAAAACAAAAAATAACCTAAATCATCAGTACCACCAACCTATTTTAATCTGCCAATGTCAACAATGTTCCTGGACTAAAACACCACAAACATCCAATCATCGTCAGTAAAGAATAATGTTATGTACAGGCTGTAGTTTCCAGACTAGCAAATGCTTCACCAAAGAAACAACACACATTGACTTAATGCAGCTGATAAATGTAGTCTCCAGCTCAGGATCAGCACAATTGAATCATTACAACGATTAACGAAAGGGTGGGGTGAGATCTGTCAAAGGATCAAAAAAAAAGGAAGCTTGTGAAAGTGTGAAGAGGAGAAATTAGAAACAAACAGGAACACAGCTTCCAAAATCTGAAAGAGGTGATTTTGGAATAAATCCAAAGCATCACTTTATACTGTGGATCGTAACCAAAAGGTTTTACAACCCATTAATTTATATGGGCTTGAAAGGATGTAGATAGAGTCGTAAGTGGTAGACTCATGACATATTATTAAGGGAAACAAGAGAAAGTGCTGGACATCTCTAACTTTTGAAGACAGACATCCCTGAGGCACCTGTGCCCTCCCACACTTCAGCTCAGTGCCACCAATAGAAGCAGAACCCTCAACCAAATGGAACCAGACAGATTGACATCCATCATGGGTAATATGCCCTCGTTGGCTGCTGAGATAATCCTGTGTTAATAAAACTGCTTGTGAAATACATCCAATAAAGCGTCTTTTAACGTCTCTGCTTCATTGTCTAATTTGATAGCTTGTGTAAAGGATCATTAATGGGCTTTCCAGAATAAATAAAAATGAATTTCAAAGCATCATCTACTTCTCGGTCATCTCTGCCTACATGGTTGCTCTTCTCACCCCTTTATCCTAAAAAAAATACCAGCAGAATGGGCTGTTAAAAGCTTCAGGTTAACAAAGGTAAAATTCTGAAGTGGTTCCTACATAACATATGAAAATATGTCTTGACTATCAGGGCTTCCTAGTGTCACCAGATAAGATCATATGCTTTTAAATACCATGTACTATTTTTTGTTTCCTCCAATAAATAGCAAAACAGTCCAAAGGCTTGAAAATGCAGTTATTAGGCAATAAGATGGACTAGATTTGAAATTGCTACGAAACCTGAAGTGTCATAAGAATATCTTTTGAAATTTTAGCTTAAACAAAAATGAGATGCCACTAAGTATACATCTGATTTTTAAAAAATAGAAATTTAGATACTACTATAATTTAGCAAGGACATGGGAAAGAGACCCTCACACAGAGCTGGTGGGCGTGGAAACAATCTGACAGCCACTAATTTACAAACTCTGCACACATCCTACTCTCCAGCAAGTCCACTTCTCAGCACAGAGTAAAGAAATCGTCTCACACAAGAAGTTGTGTGTGACAATGTTTATCTCCAAATCATTTGTGGTCTCAAAGTATCGGATCTTGGATTCCACAACTAGTAGAATGGATAAATAAAACCAGGATGTGTACACACTGGAATGCTATGCAACAGTCAGACGTAATGAAAGGGATTTTCATACAGAAGCCTCAAAATCAAAATATTGAATGGAAAGAGTAAGAAACCATAAATTTCACTGCACAACATGAATTACGTAGGGCTTAAAAACATACAATACAAAAACATTACATATTTTTTAAGAATACACATATTTAATAAACAAATGGAAGAGGAATTAGGAAGACATACAATAAACACACCAGAATGAGTAACTATGGTAGGAGGTATACGGATGGGATTAAGGTGAGAAGAAATAAAATAAAAAGAGACCCTGCCCAGAGCAAAGGTAATACTGTGACAAACTAAGGAATATGTTTAATTTAATTCTGTGCACTTAGTCCAAATTGGGGAGGGGTGAGAGGGACAAAAAAGGAAAAAGAATAGAAATAATCTTAGCCCCTTGATACCGTAAAAAAAGACAAATTAATGATTTTTTTCTTATTTTCTCGTAAAACAACTCATATTTGAATATGTTAAAAATAGGACATGTAATTATTTACCCAGTTGCGACATTAATCCTTTTGAGTTTCATTCATCTGTAAATAAAGATGATTCTTTTTTCTGACATATACAGTGTCGTAAATTGCATTCTTTCATATAAACTGAAGTTTGTTGGTTTGTAGCTTCTTAATCTTTTACATTTGTTTAAAACTTGTCATTTTTAAAATCAGTAAAAGTCTTTGAATTATTTACAAAGGTTTTCTGTGTCATATGATTTATCTCCACATTTGATTGGAATTCAGTGATTCCAAAATACTATAACTTTTAGACACTAGCCCTGTATTAATAAATGCATATAGATAATTTTCTTCTTTCCTCTCTGTCTTTGTCTTTCACATTCAAAAGTCTTTATGTATTTACACATGAAATAGAGAAAAGCTACAGATTTATACAGTTAAAAAAAATCAGAATCGTCATGCAGATATTGTTTTTAAAATGCTTTTTATTAACAGCCTATTTGTATATGTATATAATGCTTCTGGAATAAATATACAGAAAAAGATAAATTGCTGTGTGACCTTGATCAAGTTCCTTAACATAGCTCTGCCATCAATTTTCTCCTCTGTAACACAAAGGATTTGGACTAGAAAAAAGAAAATCAGATCCCTTGTAGTTCTAAAATAGCATGATTTTAGTGCTTATTTGAGTGAGAGTTTAAAGAAAAAAGTAACTAATAAGAGGAAGATTTTTTCATCTGGTCTAACAGAAATATTGTGAAGAAGTTTTAGCTTCTAAATTATTTCCTTATGTACTTTTCCTTTTCTTTTTTCTGATCCCTTCTTTCTTAGTACTCTTTTTAATCTCACAGAAATGACATACTTTTAAAAGAATTGTTATAAATAAATGTCAGATTCTGTTTTTACATAAACCAAACAAAACGGTGATGGTATAATACAACAACATTATAAAGTATGAATAATTCACACAGGATGTAAGCACTTTATATGATGTTCTTTAAATGCACATGAACCATGTTACACTTGGTTGGGGGGTTGTTTACTGTACTTCATTCAAGACAATTTTAGTTGCTCCGAGGTATTGATGCCATTAGTGGTTCAGGATGTAGGGTACTTCTCTGACCACTTAGTACCAAGAATACTTCCTGTCTTATAGTAGGCATTCAAAAAAAATGTTTTGAATGAATTAATGCGTTCACAGATACGCAGAAATCTTCTTGTTTGTAGAGATTCTCATCAACGACTCTTAAACTATATATTTCCATTGGCAATTTAATCACCTTAATATTCTAATATAATTTTACCATACAGTTTTTAGATGTGAGTTTATGTAAGTTTAGCCCTTTAACCACATTCAGCATTTAGTTAAATTTCAGAAAAGATTTCTGGGCGGTTCTATCACCTACCTGCAAGTGCTGCTTTTCTGCATGACGTCAGCTCGATGATAGCCAGAGAGTTTACAAAAACCGTCATTACTATAAACTACAGGCCAATCCACAATCTGGGCATTTCCCAGTAAGAAACTTGATTCTAAGGGAAAAAAAGGGGAAAGGAAGTTACTTCACTTCATTTAACCATGTACTTCTTTCAAATAATCTAAACGGCAGATTCATAAAGATGGACAAATGCAACTATGGTTTGTTACGGTACAAATAACATAGCCTATTTTTGAAATTAACATAATCAGTTTAGCATGATCATCAAATGAAGCATGCAATAAATACAAGATCTGTACACAAACTAGAACTTCATTTAGAAGCAGCCAACTTCCAACACCCCTTTGCACTCAAGTATTCCCTAAGCTTTTAAAACAAAATATGGCTAGTATTGAATAAAAGCTAACTACAGAAATAATTACATTTAAAACAGATTAATTTATTAAGAGTAGGGCTACAGTCACTTTGCAAAATGAGAATGTTGAATTTGATAAGAGACAAATTGGATAATCCCTCCAAAAATTCTACTAATATAATTTTGACATGATGGGACAAATTATTTTGCCATTAGACTGATCTTGAGAAGTCTGATTTAAAATAGTATTGAAGCTGGAACTTACTATGCTTAGTGAATTTAATCAGTCACAGAACAACAAATACTGTATAAGACCACTATTATAAGAACTCAAGAAAAGGTTTAAACACAGAAGAAAACATTCTTTGATGGTTACGGCAGTGGGGAGGGAGGGTGAGGGTTATTCGCTAACTAGACAGTAGATAAGAATCATCTTAGGTGAAGGGAAAGACAGCACACACTACAGGGGAAGTCAGCAAAACTGGACTAAACCAAAGCTAAGAAGTTTCCTGAATACAATCAAATACTTTGAGACACAGAGTAGCAGGGATGGGGGGTCTGGGGACCATGCTTTCAGGGGACATCTAAGTCAATTGACATAACAAAGCTTATTAAGAAAATATTCCACATCCTACTTTGGTGAGTGGCATCTGGCGTCTTAAAAGCTTGCAAGCGGCCATATAAGATGCATCAATTGGTCCCAACCACTTGGAGTAAATGAGAACGAAGAACACCAAAGACACAAGGAAAGTATTAGCCCAAGAGACAGAATGGACCACATAAACCAGAGACTTCATCGCCTGAGACCAGAAGAACTAGATGGTGCCTGGCTACCACCAAAGAACGTCCTGACAGGGAATACAACAGAGGGTCCATGATGGAGCAGTAGAAGGATGGGGTGCAGAACTCAAATTCTAGTAAGAAGACCAGACTTAATGGTCTGAGACTGGAGGCACCACAGAGCATGGCCCCTGGACTCTCTATCAGCCCAGAACTAAAACAATTTTGAGGCCAACTCTTCAGACAGGGATTGGACTGGACTGTGCGACATAAAGTGATACTCGTGAAGAGAGTGCCTCTTAGTTAAGTAGATACAAGAGACCAAAGGGGCAGCTTCTGTCCAGAGGTGAGATGGGAAGGCAGACAAAGTTAGGAGCTGGTTGAATGCTCATGGGGAATCAGGGGTGGAAAGGAGGAGTGTGCTGTCGCAGAATGGGGTGAGCAATTAGGGTCTCATAACAATGTATGTTAAAAAAAAAAATTTGTATGGGAGACTAACTTGAAATGTAAACTTCATTTAATTACAACAATAAAATAAATAAATAAAAATAAAATAGTATTGAAGAGTCTTTTCTTTTTCCAATAAAATGATCCAAAATTGTTATTTTCAACACATACACACAGAATTTGGAAACTACCAGTATTCTAAATAAAAGAGACATAACTGTCTATTTTGCATGGAAAAATAGATTGTTTTATACAAAAAATTATATTTTCAGGTATCAAACTTGATTGAAAATCCAATTGATTTAAGCAATAACTTTACCATATTTGTAGATCACATGATAAACATATTAAATAGAAAAATCAAGAGCAAAATAATAAAAAATAAGTTTTTATATGGAATATTATATTTTAAAACATTCAAAGATCTAGCTTAAAAATAACTCCTTGAATTCACATTAAGGGTAGTGTACTAAAAAGAGAAATGAATTTATGGATAAAAAGATTTAAGCCCTGACTCACAGTTGGTCTTCTTAGAAGTAACAATTCTACAATTCTATTCAACATGTACCAGGTAGCTGCAATGTACAAAGCACTGCTCTGGGTCAGACAATGGGATAGAATAAAGGTCAACAAAAACAAACCCTTTACTCTCAAACCTTCCGTCTTTTGAGAAAAAAAAAAAATTGTAACAACCAATTACAAGGCACAATAAAACAAATGCTAATTTGAAGTTCGGAAACCCTAGTGGCGTAGTGGTTAAGAGTTTGGCTGCTCTCCAGAAGGCTGGCAGTTCCAATCCACCAGGCGCTCCTTGGAAACCCTATGGAGCAGTTCTACTCTGTCCTATAGGGTTGTTATAAGTTGGAATCGACTTGACGACAACGGGTTTGGTTTTTTTAATTTAATTTGAAGTTCAAGAAACATGAGGAGAGTATTCTGGTTCTTATAATAATGGAATAGTTTGCATCAGACAAACCCTCCTATTATAATATAAATGCTGGACAAAATATGAAAAATAATGTGTTTGAAGGCACTAGAAATCAGCCAAAAACTAGGCAGAAAGTAAAGACTAAGAACTCTTGAAAAGAGGGAAACACATTAGGTGGGATACTCATTTAACTATCCATTCCCCTGAGCGCACTGCCTAGTTTTCAGAGTGCATGGGATGATAGAGCTCAATCAGCCTTATGGGGCTAAGGAATCAACATCCTTCAGTAGTTTACCATATCCATTACCCATATCCATTCCACAGCCTCAAAGTCTGGCCCTGCCCATCTGTCTAACCTCATCTCTCACCACTCTGCCCTTTTCTCTGAGTACCAGAGCCACACTGACTTTTCTTATATCCTCGTAAGATCCACGTTCTCTCTCACCATAGGACCTTTGCACTTGCCATTCTCTCTACCTGGACACCATTCTTCCCCTCCTCACTTAGTTGACACCTACCCTTATTTTAGATTTTAACTCAATTGTCATAATCTATGAGGTGCTTTCCCTATCCCCATGATTAGGTCACATACCCAAACCCAACCAAACCAAACCTGTTGCCGTCGAGTCGATTCCGAATCATAGTGACCCCATATGACAGAGTAGAACTGCCCCATATGGTTTCCAAGGAGTGGCTGCTGGATTCAAACTGCCAAACTTTTGGTTAGCAGCTGAGCTCTTAACCACTGTGTTGACATGATGTAACTCTTCCTCGCAGATCTTATTACATTTGTAATTTTATACTTACTGGCATCATGATTTGATTAACGCATACTCTCTTAGACTATAATCTCTATAAGGACAGAATTCACTTCAGTGGTGCTTGCATTTGATCCCCAGGTACCTAGCACAGTACCTGGTATATAGTAGATGCTTATTTGTTGGTTGGCCATGTGAATAAATGAATGAATTAATATATTCTTGCAGGGATGTCTCTTTATATAATTGGTATCATGAAATTTAGCATTTTATGCTTCTCTAAATACTTCATGCATATTATTTTTGTCTTCTTAAATGGATGATATATTCCTAAGGATCATAAATTGTATGCCTATTCTACATATAAGAGTTACAAAACAAGAATTACTTATTGATTGAAGGAATTGTCAGTATCCCAGGAAAGAGAATGCTACAGGCTTCAAAAGGAAGACCATAAACATTACAAGGCCTACTGAGAGAGGCCTTCTTTCCCCCGAACTATCCAGCAAACCAATGTTTTTCACTTTTTTTCTTGAAACCCATATTTTTCAATAGCATAAACACGTGCATGCATGTACACACAAAAACACACAACTGAAAAATTTTCACAAAACAACACTTACTACATGAGATGTACTCTATTTTCTATTATATTGCAATATTTAGTGCACTGGTCAAGACCCATTAAGTCTATTTAACAGTACACTAAAGAGTTGCATCTCATGGTTTTTGAAAGTATGCTGTAAGCTACCACCAAAGGCCTTACAATCTTCCTTCCCTCATAAACAGACTTGTTTTCAAGACATTTATTGGAATCTGGATCAGCAGATATAACTGTCCTCAGTTTATCTTCCATTAAAAATATTACCCTACCTCATCATACCATTTTCAATAGCTCTACAATGGGAAAACTAAGACTCCAGCTCAGTAAGGCCCAGCTATGACTATTCATTTGTTGTTGATATATTATTTCACCTAAACTTTAGTAACTTTAAGTAATAATACAATTAATAACAAAAGCAATCATTAACAGAGCTCCTACTCTGTGCTAAGCACTAGTTTAGATGTTATAGATATTATTTCTAACTCATAAAACCACCTTGCAAGGTACTTACTATCATTCCCCTTTTTACAGAGACAGACTCGCCCAGCCCAGATTCCCAAGGGGGTCAGAAGCAGCAACTAAAACACAGGTTCCCTAAACTCTAGTTACTGGCTGACATTATTTGCAAACTCAAACTCTCTCTAGGGAAAGTTGTGTCTCTTTTTTACTTTAAATGGAGAAGTAGGAAGTCTTGAAATGAAGTCCTAACACTCACTGTCCAAAAAAAAACATTGCGGTCAAGTTGATTCCAACTCATAGTGACCCTACAGAACACAGGAGAACTGCCCCATAGGGTTTCCAAGGAGCAGCTGGGGGATTTAAACTGCTGACCTTTTGGTTAACAGCCGAGCTCTTAAGCATTGCACCACTAGGGCTCCAAAACTCACTGCAGGGAGGATTAATTCTCATGTTAGCTTAGAAGCAGAGTTGTTCAGGAAGAACAACACAGAGCTGGAATCATAACTGGTTGTTGAGACTTTGTCTTTACTCCAGCCCATTTTTCAAAATACTTGATATTAACCAATGACGTAGAATGCGGACAATTCTGGAATTTGTCAGGTACATATTATTTATTCATAAATTTCATCGGGCCTAGCAACTCGAGAGTTTATTAAGACCAACTTAAAGTTTAAAAAAAGTATTTTAAATATGTCATCCATTCATCTTTATACTTCCAGTGTTTGTCCATTAATTAAGTCTATCAAAGATTGAAGTAACTAGA